GTAGCGCAGCTGTCGCCTTTTTGGCGCGCATTTCCAAAGTAAAATTATGGGAATGGTGCGTGTAGAGGAATATCTGCTTTTCGTATGATTCAGATTGTCTTGATTTAAATAATATTTTTAAATATTATATTAGATGTTTTTACTTAAAACCAAAATTGTAAAGTGATGTATTTATCCTTAACTACTTTAAAAGCAGAAAAAAGTGAAAACATTAAGTTTTAAATTTACCATTACATTATTGTTTGTTTGAGTTGTTTTTTTTTTTTTCAAATAGATACTATACATTTGAGGAATCTGGTGCAATACCACCCTAACCCACAAAATCTTTAAATTTGAGTTCTTATAGTTTCATGCTCTTAAAACACACCTATTAGCATGGTTCACAAAAAAAGGCATTCTTCATCCAAAAAAATTTTACCATCTTTTCTGTAATATTACCTAAATCAAAAAACCTCTTACTGTTGAAAACAACTGATTTCATGAAAAAACTTACAGCAATATTAGACAGTTTTTGAAATATTAAATTCTATTTAATAGTTGTCCTGTTCCTTCCCATTTAAATAGTATTTTATCAATGTACACAAGGAAAAAGGTTAATATTATTAAAATTAGTAACATTAAATACCGTTTTTACTAGTTTTAACAATATTAATTGTATTCTTAAGTAAGTATCAATAAAATTCCATTTTTATTAATGCTCATCTTCTCTAAGATGTTATACTTTATGTGGCATTAGCAAACATTTTACTTCAAATCTAGAATTACAAATATGCTTGAAGATAAAACGCGTTTTTCTTGAAACTAGCTCGGAGTGTGTATTATTCCTAAATTTGCTATTATCTACAGACAATGAAATGCTGGATAAAAACTATTATATTATCCAAGTCTATTAGTAAATAACTACTACAAATTGTTTATTGTTCATTTCATAAGCATGCTCATTTTAATGTATATTATATTGTATTGTAGAAATGGCAAATAAATATCGCGACACAATTCACTCTACTTAAAATGCATGACATTGTACATATAACAAAATGCTGAAAATATTCGATAAAAAAGAGCACCTACCTGCACGTAAAAGAGCCTGCATGAAACGAAAAACAAACACCGCCTACATTACCGGCTTTTTGAATTGCATGACGTCACACGTTTAGTTTGGCTCACTACGGCTCTGTTGTAGATAGCGCAAAAATAATTACCCCGTTTTGACCGCCAAGCAGAGAGTATTTTAGCCAAGTTTCCCGCCCCTGGTCTTCCCACCGCTGTGTCCCCATCAGAGAGTTTTTTATCACCATACTCTCTGGTATCACCACTCAGCGGCCAGAATTGGGAAGCAATTACGATTGGGGCAGGGTTTAGGACACTTCACAGGGTTTGGACCAGCCCCCGTGAAGAATGCAATGTCGTTTTGTCGCAACAAATTTCATATGAGGTTCTGCGGGGATTCAACGGGAATCGAACTCTGTGGTGAAAGGCATGCGACTTCGCCGTTGAGCGACGTGCACATCAAGCATTACTTCATCATACATTAAATCGTTGGAAATTTGGAAAAAATAGGAAAACGGCAGGTACATTCATTGATCTTTCAAAGGCATTTGACAATGTATCTCATGAAAAGTGTTGACAAACGAGATTATTATAATGGAATGAGAGGTGGAGTTCAATGACCTCATTAGATCATACCTCACAGGACCTAAGGAATGTACAGAGATCTGGCAATCTGAAAATTCCTTATCCAAAAGTTAGTTATCCAAAGTTAAATCAAAATTTGATGCAATTGCCCCAGATGTTCTGCAAGGATCTGTGCTTGGACCTTTGCTATTTCTAATATATGTTAATGATATTCCAAGTTCATATAATTTCTCTGTAATTTCTTATGCAGATGATACAACATTAATAAGCAGTGGACAAAATCTCTGTCATTTAGAAACTAATCTGACTGAGTCATTAATTTCAATTAAAAGTTATTTGTCTATAAATGAATTGAAATTAAATGTTGATAAAACTGTATTAGTCAATTTTAAATTTCATCATGGTTATCAACACCACAACATTAAAGTAGAAGTATACAGTGAATCAAGCTGATTGCCATACGTTTTGGGGAATATTCATAAATCAAAACCCAGCTTATAACAAACTGGTTGACACACTTTGTAATAAAATAAACTTCAATATATTTCTCTTGATATACATTTCCTGATACCTAGAAACAGATGCTCTTCTTTCAGTCTATTATGGGATAATCTTTTCCCAACTTCAATATGGTATTGAAATATGAGGAGGTATGACACAAAAAATATGGATAGATAAATGTTCCTAGAAAAGAAATGAATAGAAAGCATTTTCAAAATGAACCTTAGTGTGTGTCCATATAAGATATCTGAATTCCATTAAATTCTCTGTAATTAATAACCCTGTACTGCTACAAGAGTGACCACTCTATACCAACCTTTCAGTTCAATTAGGCAATGTACTAATTAGTAATGTAGTAAAAAATGTAATTTTATGTCTGGATATTGTAAGCACTTACAATTATTATTATAATCTAAGGTATTCAGGTTATTGAAGTCGATTAATTAACTACTGTAGGATTACTCACTTTTTTGAAAGTTAGTACTTGCTGTTGTAACATAATCTGCTAATGTAATGTAGTGTTAATGTTATTTTTATTTGGTAATGAGACTTTGTGTAGTTCAAAATTATTTTAATGTCTATTATGACCACTTGTATACTTTATTAATCACATAATTTATCAAGTAAACTTTTTAATTATTACTGTATGCAATAGAATTGAATTTAATTCCTGTTATAAATTAAATTAATTGTTTATATTAATCCTTTTATATATTTTAACATATAATTTATCAAGATAATGTAAACTTAAATTATTACTTTTAGTGAATGTTGTTAAATTATGTAACCAACTTATTGTAATTTTAAATAATTTCTAGACAGACTTTGTTTGATATTTTCTGTAAGTCTGCAATAAAATATTATTATTATTATTATTATTATTATTATTATTATTATTATTATTATTATTATTATATGGAACTATTGATAGTGAAAGATAGGCTTACGTGTTTGACAAATCTAGCTAAGATTGCAAAAATGCCATACTTTGCCACTTATTCACAATGTCATAAATATATTACAATAACTGTTGAAATTTACATCATAATGACAAATGGGCAAGTGCACTGTAACATTCTTGAATTTAAGGCGATCCCTAACACTTTCTTTGTGATTTAATTGTCAGTATTGGCTTTAATGAGCTAAAATCTTAGGTAATTGGCCACATTGAAGTTAAAACGAGAATGTTGTTTGTTAGCCAAAAAAACTTAAGCCACATGCAGACAATGGGCTGAAGACTGTTGCCTTAATGTGAGAGATTGAGGCAATTTAAACAATGAATATTGACTTTGAGTCAAGTCAATTTTGAAAACATTCCTTCAAAAGCTCATTGCTTCAGCCAAAGCTTATTAGCAGGTGACAGAAATATAAGCAACAAAAAAACCGCAGAATATGCATGCTTGTAAGCACTTAAAAGCCTAAAGAGTAAGTTCTACCACATACTATTCACGAAGACAATATTGTCCTTATATTTTTGTTGCTAACTTGATCGACAAAATACTTTTTTTCCAGCAGCAGTTAATGGTCTTTCTTCATCCCCACCATTTGTTTCAGCAACATTCTCCTGGCAAATTTTCTTTCAGCGTTTTATAGTTCACTATCTATAAATTCACAATTATACAAAGTGCTACTAAATTAAACAGTCAATGCATTTCAA